ATTTTTAAGAAGGAACTCTTAAGAAGGCCCCTCCCATACATATCATGAGGAACATCATGAGGTAGAGAGGAAACATGTCTTGTAAAGTGGAGCAAGAGGGTAATTATTAGAGGAATGCAGTTAAAAAAACCCCACCATTGCTTAAAGCAATGGCTAGAATACTTTTTAGATAACATAATCTTGAGCAGTGTGGATAGCAAGAGACTGCTATGCCAAGATCCACATGAGAGTTTTTTAGTAAAAATTAGAAAAGTTTTTGACCAAGAATTATGGTTGCAAAGTAGAACAGGAAAAGCAGTGTATTGGTGTAATGTTCAGATAATGTAAATGTGCGTTTGTTCGCATACACAAGGTGCACAAGTCCATGGGACCTGATGAGACTCATCTGCAGGTCCTAAGGGAACTGGCAGATGAAATTGCCAAGCCACTCTCCATCATATTTGAGAAGTTATGGCAGTTTCCACTGACTAGAAAAGGGGAGACATAGCCCTCATTTTTAAAAAGGGTAAAAAAGACGACCTGGGGAACTACAGGCCAGTCAGTCTCACCTCTGTGCCCGGCAAGGTCATGGAGCAGATTCTCCTGGAAACTCTGCTAAGGCACATGAAAAATAAGGAAGTGATTGATGACAGCCAACATGGCTTCACTAAGGGCAAATCATGCCTGGGAAATTTCGTGGTCTTCTATGACGGTGTTACAGCATTGGTGGATAAGGGAAGATGAACAGCTGTCATCTGCCTGGACTTGTGCAAAGCATTTGACACCATTCCACACGACATCCTGGTCTCTAAATTGGAGAGACATTGATTTGACCGATGGACCACTCGGTGGATAAGGAACTGACTGGACAGTTGCACTCAGAGAGTTGCGATCAATGGCTTCATGTCCAAGTGGCGAGCAGTGACAAGCGGTGATCCTCAGGGCTCAGTAGTGGGACTGGTGCTGTTTAGCATCTTTGTTGGTGACATGGATATTGGGTTGGAGTGCACCCTCAGTAAGTTTGCCGATGATACCAGGCTGTGTGGAGCAGTTGACACACTGGAGAGCAGGCATGCCAAGGTACCTGCACGGGATGGAGAGGTGGGCCCATGCAAACCTCATGAAGTTCAACCAGGCCAAGTGCAAGGTCCTGCATGTGAGTTGGGGCAACCCCAAGCACAAATACAGTCTGGGCGGAGAATGGATTGAGAGAAGCTCTGAGGAGAAGGACTTGGGGGTGCTGATTGATGAGAAACTCAACATGAGCCAGCAATGTGTGCTCACAGCCCAGCGGGCCAACCGTATCCTGGCCTGCATCAAAAGCAGCGTGGCCAGCAGGTCGAGGGACGTGATTTTGCCCCTCTACTTGGCTCTGGTGAGACCCCACCTGGAGTACTGCATCCAGCTCTGGAGCCCACAACATAAGAAGGACATGGACCTGCTGGTGCGAGTCCAGAGGAGAGCCACAAATATGATCAGAGGGCTGGAGCACCTCTGCTATGAGGACAGGTTGAGATAGTTGGGGTTGTTCAGCCTGGAGAAGAGAAGGGTCCAGGGAGATCTTATAGCAGCCTTCCAGTATCTGAAGGGGGCCTACAAGAAGGCTGGAGGGGGACTTTTTACAAGGCCATGTAGTGATAGAAGAAGGGGGAATGGCTTCAAACTGGAAGAGGGTAGGTTTAGAATAGATATTAGGAAGACATTTTTCACTCTGAGGGTGGTGAGGCACTGGAACAGGTTGCCCAGAGAAGTTGTGGAGGCTCCATCCCTGGAAGTGTTCAAGGTCAGGTTGGATGAGGCTTTGAGCAACTTGGTCCAGTGGAAGGTGTCCCTGCCCATGGCAGGGGGGGTGGAACTACATGATCTTTGAGGTTTCTTCCAACCTAAACAATTCTATGATTCTATGAGGCTTTGTCCAAGGCACAGAGGTTTTAATTCATCTTACAGTACACATATCAGCTGAACATGTCTCCGTACATCTGTTCTCCAGCAACAGGTTAACACACTGACCGGAAAAATGGCAGCATGAATGTGTTCCAGTAAAGCAGTCAAGTTGGTAGCAACAAACATAACTGCTCCTGTGAGACTTCTGTTCTCTTGAGTGCTTTAAGTGAGGATGTACAGTATCACAGAGTCCCCTAGGTGTTTGTGTTTTGGCGTTAGTAAATGGTTATACTCCTTAAAGCCCATATGGCTATATTTTTAGATCAGGACATTAGGCTTTGTACTTAATGATTATTGTGGCGCTTACCAATACTCTATTGAGTAAACCTGCTTGACTCCATGTGATACATCATTATTGAAAAAATCTTAGATTTGCAGCTATTTGAAGGAATAACATACATGGATGTGTTCTCTGTCCAACACTAAAATGTAGATGCAGCTTTTATCTCTTGAACAGCTATCAAAGTTAAAAAACAAAAAAACCCCAACCAAACAACAAAAAAACCTCCTGTCATATTGTAGCACTGAAACAGTTCCCATACAAGTAGGAGGTTTGTGGAAAAGTGGCACGGGTTTGGTCTCTACCAAAAGTATTTACTTGTGGTTTAAATGCTTTATGTATTTTTGTGGCTGGAAGCAATAAATTTTATGTGTTTATTTCTCTGTGGTTTTACATATGTTTGTAAGTGCTCACTTTTTTTTTTATTCTTTCTTCTAGTAGTCAAAGAAGCCCATCACCAGGTCCAAATCATACCTCTAGCAGTAGTGCATCAAATTCAACACCTGCACCGCAAAATACATCTGTACGACCCACTTGTTCATTAACACCTACACTAGCAGCACACTTCAATGAAAACCTTATAAAGCATGTTCAAGGCTGGCCTGCAGATCATGCAGAAAAGCAGGTGAGTACACTTGTGCTTTTCCACAGGAGAGTGCAAAATGTGTAGCTTAAAATCTGGTTTTTGTACACAGGTTGCTTTTTCTAGGAATTAAAAGTATTTTTTAAAAGTCCGATGCTGGGCCTCAGCCAGAAAAGAGAAAAAGGGAGAGAGATTAGGCCAGACCTGCAGGTTTTACATGTCATTGCCATTAGCAGTTGAGTGTTTTCAGTCTCCCTTAAAGTACCAGTGCTTTTGAAATTCTCTCAGATGAATAGCTATCCTCATAACTATTTTCTTACTGCCAAAGTTCTGTTGACATTTACAGAGAACATAAATTTCAACAAATTTTTATAATAATGATATTTTTGAGGTGTGGAAAGTGTTACGAATAAGTTGACAGAGTTAAATTATTAGAGACAACTCCACAGTTTGAGACACTGAGTTGTTAGCTCAACACAGTGAAAAAGGAGCTCTGCCTTGTTTGTTGTACCCAGGTTTTAAGATGATGTAGAAGGCTCAGACTGAATATGGGCTATTTTTACATAATGGGAAGTCCAGTAGAATTGCCATCCATATTTTATAACTAACTGCGTGAACCCTATCGTGTTGTGGTAACACAGGGGAACTTGGATGCATGTCAGCTGCTTGGAATGTATTACTCAAAGGAACTGTTGGTTGAGTCTAGTTCAAGTCCTTTCTCAGGCAACCCTGTCTGACACAGTCTGTGTGGGATA